GGGGGGGTCGGGAGGAGGGGTCTGGTCAGCTGTTTCCTCAATGTGTGTGTGTGTGTCTGTCTGGACAGTGTGGGAATGTGTGTGAGAAAAAGTTGCAGACAAAGCTTGGTGGAAGCTCAGAGTGTGTGTGTCGGCCGGCGAGGACACACGCACACCCACACACCAGAGCATCCGCGGGACATGTAGTGTGGAGTTCCTCTGCAGGCGGGCAGTTTTTGTTTTTAGTTTTTTTTTTTGTTTTGTTGATTTAGTTTGAATTGACCTCGTATAGACTCCAGCCTGTGGAAATACCTTCATGATATAAAAACTGGAATATAAACTTCTGCAGTCGAAGAGAAAGCAAAGATCTCACAGAGCGACAGGAGTATGCAGCCTCCACCAGGGAGTCACAACCATGACAACTGTGTTCAGACACAACTGTGTGGTGAGTTTCTCAACTGTGCTCACAGAGGAGAGGATGCAGCGATGGTTTAGTAGCACACCGGGATTTTATTCTGTCTGTTGAGTTGTTTGTGTCTGGAGGTTGTCGACTTGTTGCAGGCAGCAGAAGTTTGGAGAGCGACGCTGCTCAGCCTGTTTTTGATTGTTTTTTATGAATGCATCCTCCATTAAGTAAAGAAATGAGTAAACACTGAACGCGAACGTCTTTCAGATTCTCAAATGTGTTGATTTGCTGCTTTTCTCCTCAGTTAAATCTAACAAACATTCAAAACGCATCAGCTTGGACAGCTTTTGATTTGTTTGGTTTTTAAAATCCTTTTAACTTGTCATGTTTGTGCGTTTCGTTGACATAATTAAAAATGTGATGGATGCTCATATATTTCTAAAGTAAATATATAAATGTTTGTATTTCTACAAGGTTTTTACGAAAGGTTAGCTTTGGTAAGTGTTTAAAACATAGTTTTTTATATTTAATATCTCTATTTATTCTGTAGACTCTTCTGTTCTTGGTGGGAGCAACTGAAACGAAAACCCAATTTCAATTTGATTCAATTTCTAATTCTGATTCAATTATGAGCCAATATTAGCTTCTACAGAATTCCCCATATCAGCAAAGTGGTTTCTGACTTTGCAGACAATGTAATAAGAGGTTATATATGTCAGTGTTGAGATATAGGATCGTCGCCCAGCTGCAAGTATAACGTCAAGATGTTTGGGCCTCTGATTATGTTTTAAAGGTCAAGGTGGCGTTTGCTGGAAAATATATATTTAAAATCAGAGATCAGCATCATCAGCTTTATTGTGAAACCAGATTTGGGCCATCATTCAGATTTAGCCTCTGTGAGCTCTGTGGACTTTTGTCGTTGTGTTGATCATATTAGAAGTGCGTTTGTTTTCCTTGTGTGGTTATAGAGTGTGAATTCAGCCACAGCAGCCTTGTTCCTACAGGTCGAGGCTTGATGCAGAATATTTCAGGTTTATGTTGTGTGTTGGTTAGCTTGGAGAAGTGGTGTGAAACAAGTCTGTAGTGTGTGTGTGTGTGTGTGAGTGTGTGTGTTTGTTGTCTGCAGGCCACTCTGTCCTCCTGTGTCTGACTTGGCCCTGACCTCTGTCTGCTCCCCGTGAAAAAAGAGTGTGTGAAAAATGTTCTCTGTGTGTGTGTGTGCAGGGGGGGGGGTCAAGCGGACTGTCTCTAAACAAAGCTTCCCCTGTCTGTCTGGTCTGGCTGTGTGTGTGTGTCTGTGTGTGTCTGTGTGTGTCTGTGTCACACTGACCTTTACATAAGGAATAGATCTGTCTGGTCTCTGTCTGAAAACCTTTTTCTCTGTTTCACACAGAAACACAGAAACCTCAGTGTTGTACTTAAACTTTACTGAATCAGGTGTTATTTTATAAAATTATTTTTTATATTCTATTTTTATTTTTTTTATTTACTTACCACTGGAAGCCCACATCAACATAATTCTATTATAACCTGAAACCATACTTTGATCAGTTTTATTTTAATAGTTATCAACAGATCTATAAATCATTATCTGTCATACTTGTATAAATACACATTTCTTCGTTTGGGGAGTTCATTCACCACTTTATTAATTTATTTATTATTTCATAAATATGATACTTTGGGGGCGTTAAGCCTTTAATGATGGGACAGAGGTGAAGCATGAAATGTGGAGAGTAAAGACAAGTAGCTCAGGGTGATGCCGCGACTGAACCTGTGGCTCAAGCTTCTACACAAAAACAAAATTTAACTTTTTAAAATGGACTGCATTAAGAAACGTAGAAAACGCACTGTAACACAACGAGTAAACTGACCCTGAGCTTTGTTTCCTGTGTTCTTTCAGCCCAGCTGGAGTTCGTCCAGATCCTGGTGATCGTGGTGGTGATGATGGTGATGGTGGTGGTCATCACCTGTCTGTTGAACCACTACCGCCTATCAGCACGCTCGCTCCTCTCCAGACACGCCCCTACACGCAGGAGACACCTGCCGCTGGCCAACGTGAGTCCAACACCACATTTACACCAGAAGCCGGCATCTAGATTTAATACATCCACACTGCCGTAACATATCTTTAATTGAAGTTAACATGGCTACGATCAGAAGTCTGTTCTTCTCTGTGGAAACAAGGTTTCTGGTTTTCATGACATTTAAAAAATCGATTTATTGCAGCAAGTCGACTGTGACCAGGTTTCATTAAGAACTCTCTTCAACTTCTCTTAAAATTAAATAATGAAATTAAACTGTTTTTTCTGAAAATAAATGATTAAAATCGTTGTATAGAAATAGAATGAACAGTTTAAACATTAAATATAAATATCAGCATTCATCATGTCAAACACTCTAAATGAAATTTAAATGACATTGTGTTTAGTTCACAGTTAATAACAGTCATTATTTAACAGACTTGGTTCCGTCGGAGTTAAAAAGCTGTTGTCTCAGTCGTTAACGAACAACGTGGTTCAGCAACGACGGTTGTTTGCGAAAGAGCTTTGAAGAAGCCGGGTCTCAGGATCACTGAGTGACAGTATGTGATCATAGAGATCTTAGAGTTTGCTGCAGGCTAATGCTAACACACTGACTCAACTCCTCAGACGGCGCTTGTGACGACTATGTAAGGCTAACACAAACGGTCGTGTGTCAGTGACTTCAGAGGATGTTACACTGACGTACATTAACCCGTACTCTGATCTCCGTAGACAGTTTCAACTTGAAAATATATAGAGCCATTCGGTGAGGGACAACATTTTGGGGCCGAAAGCTTCTGGTTTCTGTTTCTAGTTTGACCGTTAAGTTTGAGGTGGTAAACATTCCGCTGTTGGCTTTTTAAATTATCATTTATTCCCAGATAGCTGTTAATAGAGATGAGATAAAATGTCGTCTGGACCTAAAACACCGAAAAATATCAATGTTTGCGTTTTGTGCGGGGAAACATTTGACTCTGATCTGATCTCTTCACCTGAAGCCCCAAAATATGTTGCCTCCAGAGGCCGATTCATCATCAGGAGACAGCTGATGAGATCCGAGATGCTTACCCTAACCTTAAAACCCGTGTTGACTTAAAAGTTATTGGTTTACCATACGGGAACTTCTTGTCCCCGTAAGGAGTTCAAGTCCCCGCAGTGTGTAAACAGACTCAGGTCCCCACATAAAACCCAGACCACACACACACTGACGCGCACCTGAGGCTTCTTCAAACAAATGACTTCACTTGTGCTTCTTGAATTTCCTGCTACTGAATCACTATGTGTGTGTTTTGTGTGCGGCTCCGGTCTACAAATTAGATATGAGTAAAGTGTGAGGCATAAATGTGCACAAGAACATGCACACACTCACAAAGGAGCTCCTGATAAGCTCAGAGGACTCAAAGTGTCCTAGTTCATTTGGATTAGCAGACAGAACCACTGACACACATGCAGTCAAACGCGCATGCAGACAGACGGGCAGGAAACGAGAAGCTATAAAAAAAAAAAACAACCTGCACAAACGCTGGAAAAGTTTCTCCTGTCGCCTCTTCACCACATCGACACACAACTGATTTCAAAGTCCTCAACAGTGTGTGTAAGTTTCATTGAGATAAAAACATTTAAATAACAATGGGAACTCATAAAGGTGGCAGTGAGTGTTTGTTGTGCATCAGTGGAGCTCCCTAGTGGACAAAAAGCACAATAGAGTTGTGTGCAGAAGTTTTAAGTGAACGGACTCAACACATCAACTGAGAGAGATTCTCACTGTCAAGCTTTGTCTGTGTTTTTTTTTTTAGGAGGGCAGTCTGTGGTCGTCTGAGGGCGCCGGGACAAACAGTGGTCTGAATGACGTGAGTTCAGCTTTAACCTGCTGTCAATACAAAACGTAAAGCAGGTTTATAACAACTTTCAAATGTTCTGCGTTATGACTCTGCTGTAATTTGATGTCATTTGTTTCATGGCACCAGGTGTACAACCCTCGACCTCCGGACCGAGGCGTCCACTCGTCCTACCTTCAGCGGGAGCCGCTGCACGGCCAGTCGCAGCCTACCCTCCAGTCGCAGCGCTTCCAGCACACGTACGCTCCGAGTCGCTTCCAGCCGACGTACCCCTACCTTCCCCAGAGCCTCATCGACCTCCCCCCCACCATCTCCCTCTCAGATGGAGAAGAGCCGCCACCCTACCAGGGCCCCTGCACCCTGCAGCTCCGAGATCCGGAGCAACAGATGGAGCTGAACCGCGAGTCGGTCCGAGCGCCGCCCAACCGAACAGTGTTCGACTCCCACCCCCTCGACCCATCCAATTCCTGTCTGCAGGCCAGGTAGCTACGCAGTGTCATGTGTTCACGGGTTCATTTTGACTACAACTCCTCAATCTACCTGTTTGTACTGCGTCCTCTGCACTGGCTGATGTACAAGGCATGTTGTCATCCTAATGCTGCGTTCATGGCACATTACCAGGTTTCTAACATCTAAGTTATAATTACATCATTTTTGGCACCAAATAACAGACGCACCCGAAAGCTAAATATGGATTTACTACAGCTTAAGTGTGTAACGATTAACGTAAAGATTTATGTTGATAATTCTACATAATTAATGCCGAACATTTCTGAAACTGACTCCGAAGGGATGCAAATATCTCCGGGTGTCAGATCTACCATCATCCTTGCAGCACAATAGCTCTTTCATTATCTGCTCTTAAAATCACTGGTTTCATTCGTATCACTCCTCTTTATCTTTATGTTGTTTGCTTCTCAGACTGCAGGCTCCTCCTCCGAGCGTCCATTCAGGCATCAGTGTGTTAGAAGCCCAGGAGGCCTTGTCCCGGCACCAGAAGCAGGGCTCTCGAGTAGAGGGAGCGCCCCCGGCCTACAGCGAGGTGATTGGGCACTACTACCATCCGACATCCCTGAACTCCAGCCACAACCATCGGACTGTTTCTTCCGCACAAGCACCCCCGTCCTCGCTCATACATGGTCTGATCCGACCTCCGCCTCAGCAGCAAGGAAGTGTGGACAACAGGAACGCAAGGAATACAAAGGAGAAATCCCAGAAGCCCCAGCAGGTGTGACAGTACTGCTTCCTCTTTTCTAGCCCGCAGGAAGGATTATGCCTCGCCACTTCGGGGAAACGGTCAGCAGCCAACAAGGAACAACCTGGTCGGTGGTTAACTCCACAGGTCTAAGGGCTGGTTAGTTGTGGTCGTAGCTGACACGGTTTCCCCTCATCACGGATCGGGCTAGGAGCGGGAGGCAGCAGCGCACGCCGGCTTCTCGTTAGGTAAGAACATCTGGAACCCGCAGCATTCCTGCAGAGCACGGATGCAGGAGAACATCTGGTACTTCCTGCTCCACAGTTTCCTGTGCACTTCGGATGAACCGATGATGATGTCCGAGAAGGAGGTTGAACGGTGGAGGCGGGGGAAAAGGCGGATACAGATGCCTCCTTCTCCCCCACAGCAACTCCTCTCGCTGCAGCTCATCGCTCCTCCATGATTGAACTAGCCTTCACTCATTATAAATATTTACTTGTTCTGTTTGTTTCTGTAGAACCTTTTCTTTGTTTGTGCGACTGTTTTGCGCTTACATTTCTATCCAGGCAAACGGTGAAATGTGGCAGTCTCCTTGGTTCTTCCAGGAATTTGTTTTGTTTCCTCGTGATAATCCCCCCTCGCTGCTTTGACTCCAGTAAGTTTGTTCGCGACTGCACAGTTCAGCGTTTGGCGGCGACTCCTGCACCAGGCTTTAGCTGCATCACTGAGACAAGTTAGCACTCAACAATATTCACAGAAAGAGTTTAGATGTTGTTAGCATTACTTTAAATCTAGCTTACCAGTTGTAGCACAGTGCTAAAACGTCCTCGAGCTAAACATCATGCCTTATATCGACCAACTGATGCAGGAGTTGTCGTTAAAATCATTTCCTTTTTATGTTTTATGTTTTCTGAAGAAGGTTTGCACAAAGTTCAAGACTGTTGACCCCAGAAAAAATCTGCAATATGATTGATAAGAGAGAAAATAGAGAAAGTAGGGGTATTTTTCTAAACTAGGTGGATTCTTATCAGTGAAGATGTTTTTTTCTGTTTGTTTTTATATGTTGTGTAGTTTTAGAAAAAAAAAGAAACAAACATCTGTAATCTGTTGGGGTGCCAACTTTCACGTTGAACATTTTGCTACATACATGTTGGCATGTATATATGTTACAAATGGACTATATATACACACACATGTATGCAAACCGAGAGCAAACTTAAAAGCACGAATTTAGAGTTATTTATATAATTGCTAAAAAGAATTGCACTATTTTTTAGTATGCGCAGATGGAACGTGTGAGAGAGACTTTTATTGTGAAGGAGCTCTGTCCATTGAGAAACAAAAACGAAGAGAGAAACCTCCGGGGCGTCAAGGGTCGGGTCACTTCAGTGCACAGCGGCAAGTATCATGTGAACATATCACGGGGAGATTCTGACTTTGATTCAAAGGACTTGGAACAACCATTACTGTACCATTGATATTAAAAAAAAAAAAAGAAATCCCTGGTTTATGCAAATGTCCGAGTCCTGCGAGCCAACCACAAGTCAGCATCCAACCTAACCTGTGGGCCCAATCAGAAACCCTGCTCGTAGCTCTCTCTCTCATCCTAGTGGCCCAATCGTTAGCCAATCCCAAAGCCCAAAGCAGGCTGTCACTACCTCGACCAAACAAGTCAAGCACATACGAGTTTGCTCACATTAATCAGACGTTGTCTCATCGAACAAAAGTCTGAACTAATCAAGACAATGTGTATTGTATCAGTGAAAGATATTAGAGTAGTTTTAAAATATCCTGCTGTGTGTTATTTTATTTTGAATGTCAAATTCTTTTTTGTTTGTCGTGTGAGAAGAGAGCGGGAACGACGCAGGTTCAGTGACACCAGGTCAGGTCGCCCGAAATGTGTGATACACCGACTGTGCACTGCCGTGGCCGCACACACATGAACGCAACGTTTCTGCAGTTTCATTTAAAGTCGCATCTCTCCTGCCTTTTTGAACACACACACGTGTACCCACAATCCCCTCTGGTGGGGTTCTCTCTTGCAGGCATCTCTGAGCACTTTACTGCACCAGGAAGGAGACAACAATCTTCTGTCAGCCAGCGTCGGCCAGAATAAAACTTAGAAACTTCAGTCACACCTTTGCGTTAAGTCTAGATTAAATTCTCTGATCTTTAGAGCCACACTTTTAAAAGATGCAAAGGATCCGACATCTGATGCCAACTTTGACACAAACCGGTCCTCATCAAGAAAAGGATTTAGGTTCGATACTGAGCCCTTTTAGCATCCGACCATTACACATGATTAGTTTGTCCATTCAAAAATAATTGACTTCCTTTACGTCAGTTTTGGAAAACACAACTCTTTGCAGCACAGGATGAGTTGTTGCAAACTAGACACGCTGAAGTGTTGAAAAGTGACACGAGTGTTAATAGCAACTCATCTTGTGTCAACTCTTGAACAGTGTGGAGATAAAGGTTCGATTATCGTTAGAGTAGAATTTTAACGGACTTCTAGATTTAGCCGTTTCCATAGTGACCAACACTCTTTCAACCCCGTGGTCCGAACAGTGATCTCGAGTTTGTATTGATGTGAAGGAACCACAGCCCAAATGAAACCAGCGCCCTCTAGTGTTCAGTCTTTATGCAACAGCGCCCTCCACAGGGACCCAACCAAACTGCAGCCCAAACTCCGAAAGCTTAATTTAGTAGAGGAGAGACTCAAAGGCCAAAAAAAGATGTTTTATAATCTGATGTGGGGGATTTTTAAATCATTTGTCTTCTCTTTACTTTTGAAATCACAGGTGTTCATCAGTATCGATGTTTCGATCACATTTCAGTCTCAAAACAATTCAATTCTTTTTTTTTTCGGTGGGTTGAGGAGTTTTACACGACGCTTCAAATGCCTAAAAAACAGATGTAAACTGTCATAGAAACAAATTGTCTGAGGAAATAAGTTTTTCTTTCAGGGACGTTTAATTAGTATTTTGTCAGATCAAAAGAAATTCAACCTTTAGAGAATGAAGAGAAACTGACTCAGATCAACACAGCAGCAGATAAACAGTGTGAGATCTGTAGTTTACTGTCGTTGTGTTGAATCCTGACTTTAACATCAATTAGAAGAAGAAAAGTGAAGACAAATAATCAAAAGCCGTTTGTTTGTGAATCTCCGTCGTCTTGTTGACGTCTGTGTTCTCTCCTTTGTTCCCGTGCTGCTGTAACTCAGCTGCATTGTGTATTTAATGACGAGCACTTAAAGAAAAGAAAAAAATCATTATATGAAGAAAATCATAATCTCTTGACCCCAAAGGAGTGACGATTGAATCAATCAAAGTTTGAATCACCTTTCAACTTGTTCGGAGATAATGAGCCTGGTTCCAAAGCAAGATTACACCTTATTATTTACCTTTATTTCATCATCTCTTGTTTCCTCTCCCGTCCTCTTCTTTCCCTCCATCACTGTGACACTTGTGTTTGGGACCGGCTTTGTTTCCTGTGGACTAAGGTGTGGTTCCCTGCTCTGGAGGGTTTGCGGCGGGTAAGAAAAGGCTGAACAGGCTAACAGGGCTACAGGAGATTACAATCGTTAGAATAATTAAAAGTCATGTACCTTAAGTGTAGTTTAAAATAAAATTTAAAAAATCTGTCGCTTCAGGGAAACGTACGCTGGCTGACGATACAAAATAAAAAAAGACAGGAAGAGGGAAAACAACTACACAAACACACAGGTTTGTTTACACAGCTCCATAAAACCTGCAACCACTGCTTAATATGACATTTACACTCATCAGGTCAATTAGAACGTAAAATGTTTTCTTGATTTAAAACTGTTGATGCTCATTTCCACACCTGCTATAATCATTTGTCTCGTATCGTAACTTAACTCTGAGACACCGAGGAGAAAATCTACATTCGTCATCGTGAAAGGAAACGTTTGACGTTTTGGGAAATAACGTCGACTTCCGTTGAGTCGAACGGATCTAAATTCAATATTATTCACAGGTTCAAAGTAATCAGGGCTCCAATGTCCCAAACTTGTCCCGAGCAGATGATGATCTGTGTTTAATTTGTGGTCACACATTTAGCTTAGCATTAAGACTAGCAGGAACAGAAGCAAGTGTGTCAGTTAGCATATTAGCCAACACAGCGTTTCATAACACGACAGTGGACGACATAAGAGTTAATGTTCACTGACTTGCCCTGAGAAAGACCTGCAGCTGTCTAGACAGAAACTAAACACACACACACACACACACACACACACAGTAGACTAAATAAACTCACTTAAGCACCAGACCTTCCACACACACAGGTGCACTTTCATTCATCCACAAACTCTTATTATGGACCACACAAGAGAGTGAAAACATTTATCCCCCTCACACACACACACACACTTCCCTCTTCCTGTCTGAACAAGCTCTACCTGTTCCCTAGAGATGCCTGCTGTCCAATGACTGAGCTCCCTTCTGACCGGCCCTTGCCGCCATTGGCCGGCCGTCTTTTCGGTCTCCCTGGAAACGTCCATCGTATATTATTGTTGCTATGTCGTTACAAGTGTGCCTGCCTGTGCTGAGACGGGCAAAATGTGAGTGGCTAGTTTGGGCTGTCAATCATCCCAGGCCACGCCTCCTTACTGTCTCGCGTGATGATTGGATGATGATGATGATGATGATGATGAGATTGAGGATAGTGATGATGAAGATGTTTTTGATAGTGATGCCGCAGAGAGCGTTGCAATACACCTACTATTTGCCTTTTTGATATTAGTCATATTTTAACGTAGTGTGCTAAATGTACGTTTTTTTTAATTGATGTTTTTATTGTTGTTTATTCACTTGAGAACAAAAAAAAAAGGTCATTTTATTATCAATCCACTGATCACACAAAACTTTTCTTTTTCCATTTCTAAAACCAACGTCGACAGTGTAAAACTACCTAACACGCAAACGCTGCAGATCCCTGGGGGAGGACGTGTAAATACAAGAAAATGTACTTCTGCTTCTAAGTGCCCTTTCCAGTTTTAAGTGTGCATGTTAGCGCGCCGCTGTGAGTGTGATTCACGTACGTCACCGATCGTTTCTGCTCTCGCACTTACAAGTTCAAGTATGATTCGTTGTGCTCGGTAACCCAGTCCGCTACATGGCTAATCATCACGTCTCCTCGCCTGGCCCAGCGTCTACACGTGTGCCTTCTGGTGTCCGGTCTCAGCGGAGACTTCACCCGACTGTAAAAACACATCATGGTGCAAAAAACTCTTCGAGTACTCTTGTTTGTGTTGTCGTCTGACATCGAACAGCACCGGAATATCAGAAAACAGATCCCACTGTTGTAGGAACAGAAGTTCATTCATGCCAGAAAAATCCAAACTGAAAAAAATCACATTGACAATTTTCCTTTTGTGTCCGAAGGTCGAGAACGAGTTTTGATCTCAATTTAAAAGCTAACTTAGATTTAAAAAATAATTTAATGTGATAATTAAAATAAATCTTGATGTGTACTTCAATTTAAAGTCAATGTCAACTATTGATTCAAATCTGAGGTGAAAAAAAATGCTTATTCAAAAATGTGATCATCTGTGATTTATTGTAAATGTTTATCTGTCGTGAATATTTTCCTATCATTCCAACTGTTTGTTCCTTTTTCTGGCATGAATGAACTTCCATAAGTTTCAAATTTAATCCGTCATAGGTTCTTACGCTGCGTTCCAGAGATGTCTGACCTCTCGTCAAGAATCTGGAGCTCAGTTTTCTGTCTGCAGTCTCGTTAAAGACATTTTTCCAAAGAAGGAATCATCCTAAACAAAACTCTTGTATCTGTAAAAAAAAAAAGACAAGAGTTACACCTGACTTGAACTTTTCTGTTTCTTTCAGTTCTTTGGACGAACGTGTTGCTTTAGACGTCTTTTTCCAGTTTCTCTACGTATTTCAGTTACACAGTTGAAACAAACTTGTACTTCGAACACTTAAATACTCAGCAAACTGGAGAAAGGTGAAAAACAAAGCAGATGTTTTGCTCCTTTGTGTTTTTGCTCATTCTGCATCGTGGTCTTGTTTTCTGCTCGCTCTGCTCTGAATCAGCGCCGCGCGGCGCCTCTCCTCTGACAATGTTGAAGAAAATATACGAAAACACTCTTTCGGTTGCAGTATGTATGTGTGCGTATTTAAACAAGCCTCGATATCTTACAGGACGCAACGCTCGTCCGCCACAGTGACTATTGTAGAAGTCTTCCACCCGTCGTCGAGTTTAATCCTGCACGCATGTTAAATGTGGGACTTGTACAATAGATCCGTTTGTTGTGGTCAGGATTCCTTCATGCGTCTGGTCCCGAGCTCTGAGAATCTGTGAGTTCAGCCCGGAGCAGACGTCACAGAACACACGAAGGAACCCTGATCTGCTCTTGTAGAAAAATGATGGATTCTCCTGAATTTAAATTAAGCACCAGGCTCATTCATCTCCCACTGCAGCACAGCGGGAGGAAGAAGAAAGAGATGAACACGGTGCTGGAAAGTTCAGGGTCTGAATCTGTTTTCTGTCACAGCATGGCTCGCAGTTATATAGAGGCCTACTTATTCTCAATGATGATAATTGCTTATTTGTGTATTAAAACAGTTTATTTTAATTTATATTGGATGGTCTACGTGTTGCTGGGTTTGTTATTTTCTTCTATGTTTGTTACAAACAGAAGACAATGGTTTATCGTTGTTGTCACAGAACATGGTATGAATCGGACACATTTCAGTTAGCCTTCGATTTAAAAAACCAATAAAAAAGTTTTATAAATACGTTTCTCGTCTGCTTTTTAATCAATGTTTCATTTCAGTGAACTGAACCCAACTGTGACTTCTTTTCATTTTATCTCCGAACCTTTACAAAAGCGATTTACTGCTGATGAGTTTAATTACGTTTGTCCAGAGTCCAAGTTTCTTGTGTCTATTTACACATTCAAACGTTCTAGTCTTCAACCAAACGTCTGGAATGATGAAGCAGCTCGTTAGTGACACGCTGCCTCGATCGGAAGGTTTGTCACCATGTCGTCGTTGCAGCCTCCGGAGCTTTAGACCTTCAGGGACTTTACAGGGTTTTCAAACCTGACGTCTGTTCTCTGGGGCCTCCTTCCAGCTCGGGGCCTAACGTAAACTAAACTGTTGCAACGCCCCTGGTTTTTATTAAACACATCAACTAATCTCAAACACAAGAGAGCTGAGTCGAACTAACTGAGACAGGCAGGGAAACATTTATGTGACTCAACTCTTTCGATAAACTGTGTCAGTAAAGTTAGTTATTTAATAGTAAATCAGTGATTCTCAATGGTGTGAACACGGTTGTGAAAAAGATCCGAACAAACCAATCGGAGCAGGAACAGCTCCTCTCCCCTGGATGCAGGAGCAACGTGGTTCAGTCCAATTAACAACAACAGTATTTAAACAGCTCTGATGCAGCTGAGACTCATTTATTTGAGCAGAAAGAAAACTTTGCAACAGGCAACACAAAGAAAACCGATTATACTTGTTCTGTAAAATCATATGTGCACCCGGTTGTTTTCTCTGTTTGTGTGTTTTGTGCCGTGGCTGAAGGTTCAGTGTGCGGCTGCTGAAGCAGGAGTCACATTGTTCCTCAACAACAGAAAAACAAAACTGCTACCGAAGCTGAGAGAGGTCTCCAGAAGGTTTTTAATTTCAGTTTTAAAGTTTAGTTTTAAAAGTCTGAGATTGTCAGGCAGGAAGAATCAGAGCTGAGGAGCCTCGACTGCAAAGTTATCTTTAACTTTATGATCGTCCAGAAGAGATCTGAGGTCGTAGGGAATTCATCAAAGTCATTTGAGACGACCTCTGCACTTCACCTCAGCTGGATCTTCTCTTGAGCTCATGTCCTTCAATAAGCGTGAACTAAAGGTAAACACCTCCCCGTACAAATGAATCAGTCAGAACTCTGCTAAATTTAGAGTAACAGTGCCTCTCAGTGGCTGAAGAGTGGAACTACCTCCGCAGGTTTCATATTCTTTAGTTTCTACTCGGTGTGGTCGAGGAGCTGCTCGGCTTCCTGCTGCTGATCCCGCTCTCCGCTGCTCATCTGCACAGCGGAGGCTGTTTCAGGGGGAAGGAGGAGAGAGGTGTGAGGCCTCCCAGAATTGTCCACAGCCTCACTGATGATGCTCCGAGCGACCTGCAAGTGCATTTGCTGCTGCACGTGAACTGAGAAAGAGAAAAAATAAAGTCAGTGAGTGTTTTCTACCTTCTCATTCATTACCTTCACCAAGGAGATTGTGTGTTCATGCCGTTTGTCCGTCCGTTGGCACGATTACACAAAACAGTAAAATCTTTGAACAGGTGAAACTTGCTGCTCATGCGGATAATGAGTATTCTCACAGGGTGATCTGAATTTAGTCACTGCATGGTCACTAAATAAAGCTGTTTCTTCGTTATCATGTTTATTATTTAAATGTTTCATATCAGCATTTTCAAGTTAGTTTGTGTTGAAACAGAAAAACCTGACGAACCTTTTTTCCTGATGTTGATCTTCTCCACCTCTGGGACGAGGAAACTGTAAACCAGCTCTGACACGATCTCCTCCGACTGAAGACTGTCCCTGCTTCTCACAGACACACACACACACACACACGGTTGTTATCTTTGGGTTTAAATGTTTCGATACAGAAGATCGAGCGGACACGTTGAGGCGTCCGTTACCTTTCCTCCTCGACGTAAGCGATGTCGTTAATCTCCTTCGCCCTCCTGCGGATCTCTTTTCTCGCCTGGTCGTCCGCCGTCTTCTCCACAGCTCCCAAGATGATGTCCTCCAGATACAAATCCACAGTTTCCTGGTGAACCTGCACTACCTGTGACACAGCACACGCACAGACACGCCGAACATTAAAACATGTCCCCCGCCTGCCCACACATCTCTACATGCTCAGAGAACATGGACGCACTTGTCTGAAGATCTCATCTCCCTCTCTGCGCCTCTGCTCCTCCAGCTGCCTCCTGCCGCTCTCCTCAGCCTCTCGAACGCGGCGCTCTCTCTCGGCCAGCAACGTGAAGGCGTGGATCCTCCGCTCCTCCTGGAGACGAATCAGCTCCTTGGACAAGGTGTCCAACACGTTCTCCAGGGTCTCGCCGATCACTCTGTCCTGGGACGCCTCCCTCTGAGAGTTCTGAGACAGGAAAGAGACGGCGTGAGGAGAGTGTAAAAATTTAAAAAACGTTTGTACGTGAGTGTCTGACAGTTTCACCTCGTGTCTTTGTTTGTCTCTCTGTTCCTTCAGGGTGGTTATCCGCTCCCTTTCGGCTTCCTGCAGCCCCTGCTCCTCTCTCTGCAGAGCGAGGCCCGACCTCAGATCCTGGATCAGATCGGTGTGGTTTTCTTTGCCCTGAAACATCTGTGCAACAACACAGACACAGCGATGAGTTAACAACGTGAAACATGTCTGTGGGGCTTTAAATGAAAAGCATCGGGGGTGATGTTTACTGTATACTGCCCATGTTGTATGTAGACTACATTATATGTACATGTGTGTATGTGTGTATGTATAATTTAACATCCTCATCCACAGCCCTGCTCAGTAAGTGTGTGCGACAGATGAAGTCACACTCATGTGACAAACACATGCGTGTGGCTGCAGACGTGTTCACACCTCGTACTGGACGCTTCTTCCTCTCAGCAGTTTCTGCAGGTGGATGACAGCGAGCTCCGTCTCCTCTTCTCCCTGACGAAGATCATGTGAACATATCAATTAAATACCATCACGCGGGACGATCAAGGCGAGTGGGGATCGGACTCAGAGACTCACCTCCGCTGGCTCCTCCACTCTGGGAGTGACCGGACGAGGAACAGGCTTCTCCTTCTTGACCAGAAAACGTAACGGCTTGAGCGTCTTCTGCTCCTTCTGCTCCTCCCTCAGATCCTGCGGAGCCACAGTCAGTCACACTCGTGTATTTACAGCTTCAGGGATTTGCTCCGTGGGGGAATTATTTTTGGTTTACCTTGTAAGTCTTCATCATTTCAAACGTTTTGTTCAAGGAGGGCCGGATCACACTGGATCTCTTCACCCGTGTCTCGCTGAATGAGGCAGAGAGCTCGGCCTCCAGCTCGACCAGGACTGCGATTGATAGAAAGTTATAAGTTATTTAAACAGTAGATGAAAGATGCTCGATTCTATTCGTCCAAAAGTATTTTACATTCAGACCTTCGTATGAGTCTGAGCGGTGGTTTTGTGACACATTGTTGTGAGCACTGGTGAACGTGCCCCTGGGAGTGCAAGGGAAGAACTGAGAGTCTTTAGAGCCGAGTCGCTGCAGCTGCCCCTTCAGGTTCCTCCGCTTCACTTCCAGTTTCCTCAGAGCTGCACAACGATGAAGAACAGATCAACAGTGAGTGAAATCAAAACCTGGAGGGACACTTATTTTCCCCCACGTTGGGGAAGTGGTTGTCTTACACCTGCTGTAGTCGTTGTGGGTCTTGTGTAGTTCGCTCTGCCTGTCTTCTTGGAGCTTGGAGAAGATTCGGTTCAGCCTCTGGTTGGTGACGTCTCCCAGGGCCTCGCCTCTCTGCATCAGCAGGTCCGTCAGCACGGCGAGACGGGACTCCTGCAAACTGGCCACCGCCGACAGAGACACGTGTTTTACGTTGGAAACGTTAAGAGGATGTTGCTTAATGAGCCAAGAAGTGGATACGTCGACCATTTCCTTCAAACCCTTGTGTTAGCAGTTATTCTCTTTGCTTTATACGCTGATGACTATTACTTTTTGTACCACTAGGGGGCAGTGGAAACAAGCTATGATGGATGACATGACACCTACCCATCCATCATCCACCTTCAGGTAGGTGGTTTATTATTTATGTTGATGCTATTTTCTGATTGGTACTAATGAATTGGTTGAGGAGCGGCTCCACTCACTTCTGGATTTCTTCTTCTCTGAACGCCCACTCTCTGGCCTCCATCTCCTCCATCTTCCTCCTCCTCTTGTCCAGCTGACTCAGGTCGTCCAGCGGAGGGAGACTCGCCTCCCACACTCGTTTGGCCCGAGCCCGCTCGATCATCTCCACCTCTGCCAGGCCTGCGGGCAGACCATGACCTGAGGGGAGGAGTCACCACAGGGTTTGGATGTGAGTTAAAGGCACAGTGTGTAGAATTTCACGACATCTAGTGTTGAAATTTCACGTTGCAGCTGAACACCCCCCACCTCACCCTCCCCTTCCAAACCTTCAGTTGTCATGAAAACTCACAAGGTGTTTAGTTTGTTCAGTCTGGACTAATGTAAAAAACATGGCGGCCTCCGTAGAGAGGGTCCCCTCCATGTAAATATATAGTATTTAAATATAAAG